TTGTACCCAAAGATTGTGGTCCATTGACCAACGATCAGTCTAGCCTGGTGGCGTCTCTCAGCTGCCTGAAGCGTTTTCTTCATTTTCTGTCTTGTGTTTGATTGTTGTGCTCTATCATCTGTGTTCTTTTTGGTAGCCCCAAGACCAGACGATGGCACCCTTTTTGAGTAATATATTTCTCTATAGTGAATGCCCAAATAAATATCAGTTTCATCACCGCGGGTTGTTTAGAGGTCCCACACCCAGAAATAGTCATCATTCCTAGCTACTCTCCAATCAACTAACCCACGAACCCACCGACCGATCACCCTACCTAATCACCACCACTACAGGGCAGTAATGATAATCGCCGAAGTGCCTTGATGAACGCATTTCTACGAAGCCCTTTGAGATTATCTTTGTCTATCTTATCCTTAGGCCTTACAAAAGCCGACGTTCTCGAGATCTTCGAAATTGTTGGGGTCCGAAATTCCACTGCATTCGGTCTCACCGAGATACTATTCATAGCCCAATCCACATATGGACTATCTTCCGAGGTCAGGCGATTGGCCTCCAAAGTTGGAGTTGTGTTTGTTCGTCTCCAAAAGCTTGCCCTGGCCTGGCCCTTCGGCGGCTAGGATTCGATAGCTTAGGTGTCAGTAGGCTATTGAATTCATTTCATGTCGTGAGGCTCTTTCCATCGACAGAAATTGTGAAAGATTACGCACAATTTCGTTTCAAGTAAGTCGGTGGTCCATGTTACAACTGTTGTCCCAATATGCTGCACCAGGCACCCACAGGTGGTATTGTAGCGAAAGATTTCTCTCTGATCTGAAGAACGTGATTCCAGATCCCCTGTCTAGCGAAATAAACCTCACTCACCTCCTGTACGTCTTCGTTTGCGGGGGTACCTTGGGTCTGAAGTCGTGCCTCTCGGGAGGCAATTTGACAATACTCGCCCATGCCCCTCCATCTCCTTTACACCCAGATGAAGAAGTTGCTAGTAGTTTACGCCGGCGTTTCTGAAAAACGGGCTAAATGGAAACTTGATTGGCTGCGCAGGGTTTACCCAATGATTAGCTTAGCGTTTCTGTCTTCTACATCTTGCGAAAAGACTTCAACTCGCCAAACATTTTGAAGACACCAAACAGTACAATGGTTGGATTTGTTAGTGAAAGTTTCTAGAAATACCTCCTTCTTTCTTTTTGTAAGGTTTTAAGTATGTAGTTTCGCCGATATGGGATCTATATCGTGAGGCCCCCCGCCAACGCTATATGCATGTAAGCAGCGCTTCAGATACAATTCTATTTTTACATCGATTGCAAGTTAGCCTAATACCTAGACCCCCTAACAACCGTACACGAAAAGCTAACCGCTCGACTACCCGTAAGGAAGATATGCGGAGAGAGCTAGAGGCCGGGGGAAGGCTATCTAGCGCTTATGCTATTAAATTATTGGTATCGAAATAGCCTCTATCGACTATAAAGACGGTCAAAATCCGGAAGATTTGGCTGCCAATACGAAGCCTATGATTTTTGGGCTCACAATCCGTCGGCCAGGCTTTCTTTTATCCGCATTTCAGTACTACTTGAGTCCGATACCTCAAATACGCTGCAATATGAACGCATGCGCAGTTAACGAAGTACCATACAGCGCCACCAGAGATGCACCCGGGGCCCTGGACCCTTTAACCATCAGGTGTCACCAGTTACTTTCAGCGATTAAAGAGGCTGCGATGGCCCTTCTAGGTCACCTCAAGGACAACAAAAGCCATGTTGGCGTTTACATTGTGTTTTTTTGTGGGATATTTGATTGGGTGAAAATCGTCGAACAGATTATGTCAAATTCTCGTGACCGCAGCATCGACCGAAATATTGTAAAATACATTTACAACTTGAAGGGCTTGAGGCATGGTCTATTGGCAGGAAAATCACAAAGAAGCAAAAGTATTCCAAAATTATCAAACAACGAGACCACACTGCCCTGTCTGGAACCTCCAGTCGATGTTCAGATATCCCCTCCGAAAAAAACCTTTGCGCAATTGGATGCCCCCTCTCCCAAAGTTAGCCTTCCATAACCCGTAATTCAATCTAATCTTCTAAAATATCTAATATTATTCAAACTTTTAGGCGGGGAAGGGTATCCGCCTGACAGAACGGCAATCCCGGCTTCCGAGGCCAATATCCAAGGAAATCAAGCTACCCCAGGCTCGATCAGATCCTCTCCTTCTAGAGCCGGGACAAAGTCGAGTTGACGGAACACAACCGGGCGGTCCATTTTCTCGACGAGAGTATCCCGAATATTCTCCGCAGCGGTTTTGTGAGTGCACCCTGGTTCTTCTATTAATAAAACTTTCTGACAACTACGGTCCGGAATACCTGCAGGAGGAAATTGCGTCGCTACCTAGTATGGCAATATCACCTTTACTTTCGCGAAGGAGTCTCGAAAGAAGTCTCCGAATATCCATTTTTTCATATCGTTTAGAGATCCTTTGATGCTTCCCATGGTACTCGACGAGCCCTTCTCTTGCCGCAGGGTTGGTCCATTGTCGCGGGATATACATGTTTATTTCAAGGTTCTGTATTTAACCGTTGCAAAAGATTGATTAGGCCAAACCGCTTTGATTGCGTCTAAAAGAAGCTTCGATTTCGAATATTCCTAGATCTATCGCAATATCTTTGGGGGTTTTGGCATATCTGAATTAAGGGATCTTACTTTTTCTATATCTTGAGCGAGAAGCTCCTCCATCCAAGAACCAATCCATGCTTCATGAGCTTCGATCGGTGGTTACGTTAGCGTATGGATGCTCAGCGGGTTCCTAGGGTGTTTGGGTCGTACCTTCTTTTTCTAACAACCAGAACAATTGTATTTTTCTAGTCATAAATGTATGCTTTCGACATCCCGCGATCGCCTCTTTCATATAAAGTAATACACCAGTGATACCTATACCTGTTGCAAATGCGATAATAGTGCCATATCTCTCCAGTCTCATGGAGACGCCGAATGGGCCGTCAAAACGTGCGGGCGTCCTATATAAAGACACTGAATTCGCCCGTCGTACCAACTTCTCAGTAAAACCCCTTTTTGGAACCACCAAAAGGGACATTATCAACATTTCTGGATATTCGTCCACCCAGGATATATAGAAGGGGTGTTGTTGGATGAAAGCTGATGTGCTCACGTCCGGGATGCACAACTGAACAAATTGCCCAGCACGAATACGAGCTGTCTTTTTTGTTGCGACTTTGACTAGTACCACGCCCTGAACTGGCGTAACTACGGCATTCCCAACGGATAAGCCTTCCGGATAGCTGGCGCTCTCGGCGAGGGCCCTGGCTGTATACTGCGGAAGGGAGCTTTGACGGCGCCGCTGAAGCCTTTTTTTATACCCAGAAAGCAATATACCGCATCTTGAGATTAAATTAAGCCCGCAAATAGTTATCCAAATAGGAAAGTACACTGACTTCCCAACATGAATCCAAAGCATTACGATGCAGGCAATTGCTAGAGCTAGATGAAGTTTAGAAAATACTTCATAGAACTTTCTCTGGAGAAAGGTCGATAAAAAAGCTGATAGAAGGATTATGGCGGCCTATATGCAAATTTTAGTTTCGGAGGAGTAGTTTTTCAGGCTTGAAAGCTAGGCCTACGACTTACGACAACTCCTGCACGATATTTACCGTCTGTTCGGATCGAAGATGTCGACGATCCCTGCTTTATCGCAATGATAGAGTGGGCTAATGCAACGACCCCTGCCGTGATACTGCACCATATGTGGATTGATGCAAAAAAGGTGGGTGTGACTTTGAAGATATTGGTAAGCCGACTTAACTTTAGGCCGACCGCTAGTGGAATTAGGTTAATCGTCGCAAGCAGGCCCGTTCTCTCGATCCACCGGCTATTGTTTAAAGGTATAACCAAAATTACAACGTTAAGAGATATAAATGTGATTATAATCAACATATCGCCACGAGTACATCGCCAGAACCGAACCCGCCTCCCTCCAAACATGGACGGATAGGTGATATGCTTTAGGAAGAAAAGCAAAGCGTGGATCCGAAATATTCTAGATAGGTATTTAATAGCATTGTAAAGAAGGCGGATGACAACGAGTAGGAGTATAAGGATGCTATACCAAAATACAGGCGACTGGGCCTGTAAAAAGAGAATGAACTGGAGCCCCGTCACGAACTTATGGCGAGCATCTTGAAGGCTATTCCAATCTTCCTTTAGGCCGTCAGGACCTAGGCTAGATTTCAGTTTATCCAAGTTTTCTCGTATATTACTTGAGTCTGGTTGGTTAGCCTTGAATTTTTCCCAGTCTTCCTGCAAGTTTCCTGATCCCCCAGACTTGAAGTTATCCCACTCTTCCCTCAGTTTATCCATTTCGCAGCCACACGTATTTTAGGAATGAAAACAGTTGAATTCGCGGTCTTATGGTGTGTTGATGCTTAGCCTTGGTGTTCAGTTATGGTCTTGTTATATTCATGCTTTATCAGTTTGACCTCTTCTTTAGGTGAATGCGTGGCCCAAGTTGTTACGGGTTTTCAAGTCGACTAGTCTCCACTCTAATTGATCTGAAACGAGAACATAAAGGTTCGGTAAGATTAGAGAGGGCTTATCGATTACAGAAATGAGATATAAAACACAGCAGCACTGATTTGATAAAACTTTCACAACATGTTTCGCCACAATATAATATGTGGGCGCATAAACGTGTATGACAATCATGTTTCAAACGGCCTACAGATACAGCCACAACTACCTCAACATTTTCGTATGTCACTGCCTCCTGCCTGCAATCGATAAAATATCCACAGTCTCTTTACGAATTTTTAATGATGAAAAGTGTATTTAATTAAGGATAAAAGCCCATCTACATTTCCGTGTCGCACATCAACTGTATCTAGCGAACTAAACCGAAAATTTAAAATTGCTCTATACTTTGCTAAAATCTTTATTTGATTATATCGGAAATCCTTGCTTCGTTTGATGTGCATATCCAACTAAAACGGTACACTATGAGCACTGAATTTCGTTTCAAACGTTCGAAAACCTCTTTTCTATGCAAGGCAAACAAGCTCCGCGAGAATTACGGTGCAGAAGTTTTTGTTGTGATAAAGCGGAATCAGAGATGCGCTGTTTACTCCTCCGCCCCAAATTCAAGTTGGCGAACAACCCTAGACGCAATCGTAAGTGCCAGCCTTGACTTGTAGTATCATGGGTTGTCTTCTAATCTTAGGCAGAAGGCCTCAGAGCTTGTTGATGAAACTTGGTGTCCGGAAAACATTCACCTTTTAGAACCTAAAAAACGAAATGACCCAGATGGGAGCTTAGAGGCCGCAATACTAGAGCCACCATCGTCTTGGGAGACAGGTAATATGACCCTGGTCACAGATAAGCTTTGGGGCGGGAGGGAGAATCTGGGCTCCAGTCTATTCGCCTTAAAACGCCATAATAATACTTCCAGCTCCATCAAGAAGGAACTTCGTGCGAATGCGAAGGATAATACAGTACAAAAAATGCCAAACATGAGCTGGGAAAGAGCCATCGAAGGCCCCAATGGGCTAATGAGTTTCTACTCGAGGAGTGCCGATAGCCCAGAAGCATTGAATGAGGACGGGTTGGATTCGAGCGGAGAGATAGAACGGGTTGAGGACAGAAGCCCGGACGCAAAGATTTCGCACCCCCCCGGCCCCACGCGCCAGAACGACGCCCAAAATAGCTTCTTAGACTTTGGATACAACCGCTCAAGCGCACAATCCCAAGCTCCAACTCACAGCTTGACAAAGCGAAGTGCACAGACCCCAGGGCGACACTCCAAGCCATTTAAACCTGTATTTTCGAGCTTACCACTAGGATGGGAAGGGATTGGCAACTCTCCGGAGCCACACGACGTCGTCCTCGGCTCGTTGTGCATGGAGCCACCCCGGTTCAAGGCTGAGGATCTACAAAGACACAAGCGAAAGCGAAGAATTGATGCATAGGCTTAGGAGGGAATTTTGTGGTATTTGCTTACATGTATCTCTATTTTTACGGTACCGGAGAATTCTATTATTCGCCACCTTGTCCTATCTATTTTTTTCTCGTTGTTCAAAACTATATTGAAAGTTATATATAGAAATCTGCGTACAGATTAGGTCAAATAGCGTAGCGAGTTGAGGCATGTCATCGTATCGTTCATAGAGTAGCAGGGGCTTTAGTCTGAATCTCTGGAAGGCGGCCAAATTCGAGTAAACATCGAAGGCATCCTGGGGAATCAATGGGCCGACATCTTTAGACCCACTTCCTTCGACGCACTCTCGAGCGCACTCCTATCCCTGTAGTACTACTAGCTCCCCTTGAAAATACGCAGTAATATAATGACAATACCAATATAAGATCGTTCGTTATACGCATCGTTAAGCCTTCTCGGTATAGAGGATACTACGGGTTGAAGAATCGTGCTGGATGTACCAAATATCAAGATAACTATATATAATATTAAACAGGCCCATTAAAAAACCTCCACCGGAGGAAAAAGGGTGTCTGTGTTAGGAATGAGGGCAGAGTAGCTCACAACAACAAACGAGTCAATACATGAATATAAAACATGCGAGAAATTTTGAAGGCTCTAGAAGAGCTCGTCTTCTTAGTGTACGAGGCCGTTCCCTTTATGGTTTACCAATCCCCCTCATCCTCCTCCTCGACTTTAATATTCGGGACCCTGAATATTTCGCTGTCAGGGTTCGCTTTCTCATGATGATTCTGGAATTTGACGGCGACGTCATAAATCCTTTGGTCCCATGCCTTTGACGAACGCCTTGGTAAACTCAGATTTTTGCAATTAGACCTAGGCTCCCACGTTTTGTGTCCATCTCTCCAAGAGAGAAGGACATATGTTAAAGGCATTCTAAAGCCTTTTTGTCGCTTGCGAGGGTCGATCGCTTCCGGACCTCTATTATTTGCATCGACGAACGCGACGGCTGAAATACCCCGCAACATGCCGTGAAATTCAGGCTTCCCGGCTCGCCTGTCCTCTTTATCTAAATTTGAGATTTTGGGGTATTGATCCCAGGCAACGTTGCACTCAGCTGGTAGCAATATACGATGTATCGGTGAGCTTCTTGGACCTATGGCCAAGATTATTTGGCTAGAATTGCAACAGCGCGCCACCGGTCTTCCTCTAAAGAATACCGCTGTTATATCCTCATCGATTATGACATCCTCGCCATCTTTCCGGACTCCGAAGCTATTCATATTATTGGCTGCAGAATCATCTTGTAGCTTGGAAGATTTTTTATTCGTGGAGGGCGGTACAGGGTTCCCGGTACTTTTATCCTGAGGTTGGGTACCTTTACCCTGTCCCTCGGCGTTATCTGGGACATTGGACCCCTCGCCAGTCTTGGAACCATCGCCTTGGGACTTGTTTCCAAGATTCGGGTCTTCCTTCTCCTCTTCATTTTCAGAGACGTATTGGTCACCCATTTCATAATCCTCCTCCGTAATTTCCATGCCATCCAGTTCTTCTACGACTATGACGTACTCATTCTTCTTGTCGCTACCAGGGGTCGATCCACGGGACTTCTTAGCATCTTTTTGTATTTTCTTCCGCTTATGGACTCCGCCTGAAACGGCCTTCATGTACTCGGCCTTAGTTCGAGCAGCTTTCGAACCTCGCCCTTTCGGCGCTTTCTTTTGTTCGATTATATACTCCGTCACCTCCTCCCACTTGTGATTTTTCCAAGCCCCTTTGTCATCCACCTTTTCCAGTACGGCGAACTTTCCTGCGCACACCTCTGCATCCTCAGTTGTGACCCAGATATTCAATGATGTTGCCTGGCTCGACAGGACCTCGAAAACTGAACGATAATAATTTGCGTCTTCATCCTTGTAAAACTCTTCACGTAACCTTGAATATCTCTCTGCTAAAAGATACCGATAGCTGGCGTACTGCATTTGTGCATCAAAGTCGACGTCAGGGCTTACTCCATCTTGGCCACTGAACGGGATATCAGCATTCCGAAACCCCCGGAGATACTTTTTGTCAATCTTTTTGAGACATCTTGCTATACAGCCCATCAAAAACTTTGGCCGGACGACAAATCTGGTATCTGTAGAGCTCTGATAGATCCCTTCCTCGAACCAGCGTCGAATAGGCCGCAGGGTGAGAAAATCTTTAGGGTCATAATTTTCTAAAAGTTGTGCAAGCTCCCGGGATTTAGCTCTCTCCGCTTCCGCATCTTGCTGCGCATGTATCAACGAGGTGGGGAGAATTAGAGGTCTTTGATCTTTTTCTGTTTCCTCTTCATTCTCTGGACCCATGCTGGCGAGGTAAGAGGAGATCTTGAGGTCAAGGCGACCGTACGGGTAGTCTTTGTTACGTCGTTGAGTCCCCTTTGCAATTTTTTCGAATTTAAGCTTGATATTTATATTAAATTTACTTTAATTTGAAATGATCTGTATTTCGAGCGAGATCCAGAAAGGTTCGCCACCGGATTCTTTCGATTGTATACACAGATTATATACAATTAGGCAATGAGAGCTCTGTGGATTCAAAGCCCCCGAACGCATCAATAACTACAAAATATAGGGACGCAGATGTTGGTGAGACTAGCGAGCATGCTTGAAAGTCGGCCGTTAGGGGAACGAAAATGTTGTTGCTCTCATTGTTTAAAGCTCCCGATGCCTACAATAATTTAGTGTACTTTCGGGCTTCAAAATGGAGCGAAAATAGCTAAGTACCCCAATAAATCAACTATGATATTACGCGATAAAGATAGCAAGTCTATTGTGCGGCTGGTCCCAGTTTTGTGCCTACATAAAGTCTCTTGTCCATCAGAATTACATAAGAATAAGGTATGTAGGGTCCAAAATTGTAACTATGCGATTGATATAACTATATTGTCTCGACGCGAGAGCATCGATCTGACCGCATCCAACACGAAATTGGAATACACGAAAAGTTTTTTTCATCCATGCATGTTTCAGGTGGACACCCGCCAAGACCAAAATGACTAGCTCAGTCACCATGCTATCGATATAACGAAGCTTGAAATCGGACGACTCGTAGATGGCATCGGTTGATCAACCTCCCTGTTCAATCATTTTGAATGGCCCCAACGCTAGTTTGAGCAGTAGATCGAATGACCATAGGCCCAAACCAAATTCCCTAGTACTAGATCAATCAGCAAGTATACATTAGCGTAATTACCAACATTAATTTGATTTTCCTAGCACATACACCAGATCCGGGGTCAATGTACAAAACAGAGAGGGAGACCCTCGAGCTACATTTACTACACCCTTCATGAATTCATCCGTCCTTCCTCGTGACATGTAAGATGTACATATATTTAGGGTATTTTTGAGCGGTTGGCGAACGGAAGCTTTTTGTTCTGCTGTCGTTGCACCATCGTGTTGGTATCTAACCCTCCTGCATACTGCTGTTGGCTATTGGATTATAGGAAGAAAGTAACGACTACCTAGCCTATTAGATATTGAGTTATTAGTGGGAAGGGCAGTATTCCTGGTATCGAGAAGATAGTTGCGGAGTTCTTAGTTTGTCAAGGCTCGCCCATGCAGACAAAAATGGCTTCCACTTACTTCTAGCGACCAGGGGAGAACATCGCCCCCCAACCTATCCAGTCTTATGTAAGGCAACTTAGAGAACCTGTTGAACAGGCCATCGAACCACCAAAACGAAGACGTGGACGTGAACGACCTAGGGGGAAAAAAAAGACATATTAGAAGGACGCTGCATGATACTGCTATCTTTCGTACTTACCTTACGCGCACCCCTCCCCGCACACGCACGCCGTCAGGGATCTCCGATGTAACTCGTCCAAATGTTCTTGCCATGCTTCCAACTCCTCGACCAACCGAGTCAACGCCCCGCGAAGCGCTGGCAGCGTGCGCATGCCCAGTCGCAACGCCCGAATCTCCTCCCCCACACGGTGAATATCAGGAATCAAAGATTCCGCGAACGCAAGAAGAAAATTTCGACAAGGCATTTTGTTTTGATTTGGGGTAGTAAGATACAAGAACGAGAAGAGGACTTCCTAGACAGACTCTTGAATAACATTCCTTTTGAAATCCTCCATGGAAAACCCCAGATAACTCTCTTGTTCAGCCGTTGACATAGAACCTACCTTTGCCACGGAAGGGCCAAGAAAATGATTATATAGTTTTCGGTACGTTTTAATTTTTCTTCTACACGCCTAGTCCTCTAGTTTATTCCACGAGATTCCGCATATCTTTCTTCGACAACCTTTCTTCCCTGTGAACAACACTCTCTTTGTGTTTTTCAAGAGTCGAAGACAGTTCCCCTTGACGACGTTTCATTTCTGCGGTAGCCCTAACCAGCCCTTTAGAACTCTTTCATAAATTCCGAAAGCCTTGCTTAACCTCTTTCCTCTCCCCCGTAACCCTCTTTCGAGCTTCCTCGAACCGAGCTCAAGTTTCTTCCAGTCATTTGAACTTTCAATTTCGAATCTCCGAGATACGACTAACTACACGAGCCAGCGAGAACCTGGGGTCCCAAGGAAGAATACGTAGCCAACACTACATCATATTGGATTTTTCTTTGTTTTGCACGTAATTCTATGCACATTAGTTAATAGGAAATCTCCAAATCTCGAAAGCACCATTCAATGGGCCACCCCGGAGTTGACTCTCAGGACGGCACCGCTAATATGGTACCAATTTTTACAATAACGTTAAAGCATCCTAGTAATTCTAGCCTTAGTTTTCCATCAAATTAAAAGCATACCGGTAGTAGCCATGGTCCCGAGGTGACATACCTTGGTGGACTAAAGTAAGTATCCCTTATTGTGTTATAACTACAAGGGCGTGCTGTACGTTGAACTCTGTTAATCCGATATTGAACCCAGGCTGTAGCCAACGTCTAAACTGAGTAACAGCGAGGGCAAGTTCTCCTTCAACAGCGTAAATTTGGCATTGGGAGGTTAGGGGCGAGTTTATATATACCTACCCGCTCATCTATATAGCGCAGCCGCGCAACTATAGTTCAGGTATTTAAGGAAGCTCTAAATGCATAAGATAGTTCTTCATCGAATTCACTAGCCTTCAGCCTCATAACACCTTTTCGCTTATAACAGTTGCTTTTATTTTGTATTGTAGTTTGCAATTGATCAGACACAGTCAAGGAAAAGGAAACAAGTACATACGTTTTGAAAGAAACTATCGACCTGTCCTGCAGGCCTTCATTTGATTGGCAGTCAAAAAGTGAGAGTGCATCATCCCGAATCACCACGACAGATGCAGGAGGTGTGTAGAGTTAAAGCAAACTGAGAAAGAGTGTCGCGGGCGGATTTGTGTTGAGCGTGTTGGATATTGCAGTTCGGGAACCTCGGAAACGCAAGAAGTGCGAAGATGCGGGGAGAAGCGAGTGCGATCCCAACCGATCAAACGAAGCTTTTTGTATCGTACAAATGGTATGATTAAGGGTACGGAACCTCATTACACAAGATATCCAAACATGGAAGATCGCGAGGAGGCCATCAGTATAATAGATCCTACGGGTGATACCATAATCAATTGCTGCAATGAAGCTGGAGGTGTAGCTCTAATACTAGCTACTATTAGAAAGATGGAGACAGTTCCCCGAATCTCGAGTTCTCTGGAGTTGTTCTAGGTGTCATTAGCCGAGAAGGTATGCGCGTAGTCAGGGTATCAAAAAAGTATATGCCAATATATATTGGGCCAAACGGTATAAATCACGGATAAGTGGCCGAAAGGGACCTAATACAGCTACTATTAAATTTAGACATTGAAAACTTTCGAGCAGGCATACGTGGGGGCTGGCTTCATTTAGAAGTTTATGTTTGGCCTCTCTCTTGTACTTCTTTTCTTCTACTTAAAACTGAGCTACGTACGGCAGGTTCGATTCCGACGGGCTAATGGAGCCTTTTGCTAAGGCTGATTTTGGGAGTACCGTATTCAGTTTCCTAGGGATATGCAGAAATATAATGAACTTACTGCCACTTCCCCTCATTATCGGTCCCGTGTAACTCTTTCCAATAGGCATGTTAGGATAACAGACCATGTGATTTGTGGAGTCAGGTAGCTTCTGATTATCCCCTGCGTGGTGCAGATCCCATAGACTTGTCGAGCTTAGATCCTTCAATGTTAATTGCATAATAGGATTGAATGGCTTCTGCTCGTGCTTCAGTATCAAGTAGGTAAATGTAATCCGCCTCTCCTCGTGCCCCAAGGCGGCATGAATTGGCGGTAGATGAGACGTTTCGAGTCTGGGCGCCACATTCTTCAGAGTGTGGGTTTGTTAGATATGCCGACGACTTACCCGGCTGTACGCCTATTACGTCATCACGTACAGTTTCGTAGAATTTGACTATAAATTTGTAGTCCTGCACTTAACTTGGAACAAAATTGTTGTTTGTCAGTCTCAGAATTAAATTGTGAAATGTATGGGAGAGCTATTTTATATTAGTATATAAATGTCCCAAGTTTGAATACAAAAAAATATCCCAAAAAAAAAAAATTTCAGATGGGGAATCGAACCCCAGTCATCCACGAGTAAATAGGCTTTTATACCATAATACAAATATTGACATTGACCACTGGTTCATCACTGCTCATTATTGATATATTATTAGTTCAATAATGTCGCGTCTGTTTGTTCTTGCTGGACTTCAAAAATGTTGTGTTGGTGTTGTATTGTTGGATTGGCAAACCAACCAACACAAGAAGGTGCCGGGACTGCACAAGAAGGGTCGCCGGATGAGCAAACCAAAACTGTGCCGGTACGAGACCAAGACAAACTAATGCGTTGGACCAGCTGCAGTCTTGCAACCCCAAAGGAATCTTAGCATAATTATTGTCTACCCCAGGCCGGCCCGAAGCTGTTTCTAATCCTCTTATCTGGTTTGATTGTCGGGGTACGAGATTTCTATTGCCATACACCCAGTTGTCCAAAAGTATCTCGCAAGGGCTTAACTCGCCGAGTCGTCTAAACCAATCACAAAAGTGCAAAACCTATTCACCACATCGGCTTCCGAAAGCTACCTAGTGATACCAACGCTCAGTGAGATGACTAGTTAAAGCGAAGGAGAAAGGAAACAAGCGATTTAAGGTATCATTACATATACACAATTCAGCCCGCGTAGCTTCAAAAGTAATAGTTCCAGTATCGTCCAAAAGCAATTTTATAATTTAATACTAGTAGAGAGACTTTAAGACCACTCATACTAAGGTACTGCTTTCCAACACCCTTTTTAATCGGAAGTAGTAGAGGCTAAATTGGAGTCTGTTACTAATAATTGATAACACCACGCATTTTACGGAGCTAGATGTCAAGTGAGTTGTAGCATATATTTCTATCTACAAACGGCGCAACCAGAAATGAGGCATAGACTATTTGCATCATAGCTAGGCCTCGATAAATCGTTTCTCATAAGGAATCGTGTTTCCATAATTCTGCATATAGAGCGAAAGACGAAGAGTGTTCTTAATCTCGGTGGAACCTAAGCTTTTGCTTATAGTAGCCGTCCGGAGATTCATTCTTCTGACCAACTTGTTTCTTAAGCTTTTTCTTTTCCTCCTCAGTGATAGGTGTGTTCTTCAGTTCCTCGATGACATCATCATCATAGTCCTCTCCACCGAGACCCGCTTCAAGTTCTTCATAAGTAGGCTTTTGATTTGTTGGTGGCCTGGCAGTAGGCGTAATAGGTTTTCCGATATCCGTAGGCTTTTTCGTGGGCAAAACCTTTGTCTTAATAGTAACTATTTTGGTCTGAATTTCTACCGTTGTTTTTGGTGGTGGCTGAATAACTTGAGTCAGAGTGAGAACGCTATTCTTAGTGACGACAGAAACCGTAGTATGATCGTCTTTGATAATCGTGACTAGGTTGTTCTTCGTGACGGTGACAGGCTCGGGAGGAAGCACAACGGGCTCGACAGGTTGGACGACCGGAACCGGAACTGGTTTCGCCTGTACCACTTCCTTCACAACAGGTTGGAGCTGTTGGATGGGAACACATCCTCCAAAAGGGCCGTTCCTAATATACGAAATTAGCGTCTCTTACTGCCAGATGTGGGAGTGAAGCTTAACTTACTCAGCATAGTTTTGACATCTAAGGATGCAAATTCTTGGGGCGGTGTAAGTTCCCTCGCAGTTCATGTTCGCGGGTAATGTGACCTCAATGTCGCATGGCGCCGGGGCGCCCCACGAACGTATAGATTCGGCATTACCTTCGCAGTTTGTAGTTATTGGCAGGTCCCAGGCTGACCACTGATTCGCATTACCTTTATAGTCGATGAAGCATCTGAATGGACCACCGCCGTCCTGGTTTACCATCCAGGCTGTGATCTTTACTTTTCCACCTGGAACGACCTTCGGAATACCAGTTTTGAGAGTCTGTTTAAGAGCATTGTCATATCTAGTTTTTTGGCCCCACTCCAACCAAGCCATGTGGTCAATCCCCCATTTAATGTCGTTATACCCTTCAGATATAGTGTCCTTGTAGGGCCATGGCCATGCGGCCCCCTTTTTTGCTACATCTTGCCACTCCGCTTGGTTGACCTTCTGTACCTGGGTAACAAGAGAGTCGGTAGTAACTCCGCATCCATAATTATTATAGTTTTTGTTCCATTTAGTGTGAACGTTTTTACTGTCGAAAACTGATACATCTTTCTGCCAAGGGAAAAAACCACCCCCATCTCGTCTGTTTGCCGGATCGTAACCCAGTCCGTAACCGGCAAAGCTGTCATCGCCACTTCCCACAGCCTTAACGAAAACAACATGAGCGGATGCAAGTTCGGATACGCTCAAGAGAGCAATTGCCACCGGGGTTAAAAGGCTTGAAAAGTGCATTTTGATTGACAAAAAGAGGGTGTTGAATTTTGGTTTAGAGAGTGAATGATTATATGAGGGTAGTAAAAAAGATGATTCAGAGAATGAGTGAAAGTGGTCAGCGAAGGAGCCACAAAGCGAGAGTGAACATTACCTACTAGGTAGGCCTTAATTTTGATCGACAGGGACTGTGATGGTGAGAGTAGTAATCTCTCGAACTGTCGTTATGGGCCCTTCTTATACCCACAATAATGAATACAGTATCGATCCCACCATATTATGATATTGGATTATAATGTTAGGTTACAATTAAAGTAGGATTTCAAGGATACCTTTCACCTAGACCTGGTAATTAAAGTTGTAGCGCCGCTTATGAAAACCTTTACGGTAAGTTTTGGATGAAGTTGGGATGAACTCTCCCCTTCTGTTGATTTCCGAGTCACGCGTCTACGTTAATTTGCCGAGATTTTAGTTATAATTTCAAAGTTCCAGAACCTAGTTCCGCATGCAAACGCCAGAATGCTAACAAGCCTGCCAAAAGATCCGATTTCCTATCAAATACCGCTCGCATCGACGATCCTAAGAACTATAAGTTTACTATGTCGTTGTATGTTTCGATGACAAGATATTCTCGGATCTAGCCTACATTAGCATACATGGCCTGAGGTGGGGCACTTCGTTCTGACCTAGGATCTTGTGAAGTTGGCCCGCCAAATTTATGCATCGGCAAAAACTGACACCTCGAGCACACGGACCCGGTACCAAAAAAAGGACATACAGGGTTCGATGTCATCTGAATGATCATTTCTAGTATAAATCGCAATTGCTTTTAAATCTTGTCTCATATAGGTACAAACAGGTGTACAGATTAGGTAATGATCCCAAGTCGTTTCAAGGCAAGCCTGTTATTATAAGATCGCTAGCCCTACCCATAGGTCTTGCGCTATAGCGCGCTACAGCAAGGGACATATAATAAAGATATCAGAGTTTGTTAGTTATATATTATGTCTTAGTTGTCATGTATAAAAACCTTATTCACGTACTAGTAAATATCGCGGCCGAATACCCGAAATCGGGATGTGATCGCGATGGCGGCCATCGACCGGCATTGCGCGCCGAGCAATTCTTATTCTGGGTGTTATACGCAATAGGTTCTCCCACAGATATTAATTCGGACATCGAAGAGATCGATATCTAATTGGCTAGAAAATATGATACAACACCTGTGCGACATTAATAGTTAGCGTTGATAGCTAGCTACCGGCTTAGCGAGCTTAGATGGTTATATTATCATTATTCGGTTGTTCCTTGCAATATTCGTCCCATCTGACTCCTAGAGGCCGCGAGGGATATATTAAGTTTAATTAAGACGGCCGAACGGATACAATTTAACCTAAGTACTGAGCTTCCTTCCAGATACATTGATATCAGCTTAATTGTGACCGACAAATTCTGTCAAAACTAGTAAGACCTAAAGATCCGGTGATGGTAAGGCGGAGTTACTCACATTAACATTGAGGGAGGGGAAAAAGGCTCTATCTTAGCCCTTCGCGCCTCCTTTGGTACATCGATATTAGTTTCGACGATATCGGTATATCAAGATACCGGGTTCTAGCTCTTAAGCTCTTGGCTTTTCGAATCTAGATCAGAGAAAAATATGCAGGGCCCAAAGCGAGCCTTGATCTAGTAATTCTGCATGTCTTAATATACTGGCTTAATTGTCATTAATAACACGGTAACAGATTTCAACCCTAACCGTATACAGTGGAACCACGGGATATCGGATGGCATGCCCTGTTCGAGGCTGGCTAGCTGCATGCGAGAGCGTTGAGAGAAGTGCCATGCATGCATCACGTCCATTCTTGCCCCCTAAAAAGTCCACGTTTGAAAAGCCAATATCAGCTTCGCATGCGCCAATATTAAAGAGCAAGACAAGAGTATACTAGTATGCGCATCGAATGTCGCTTTTTAAAAATTTCCCTCGGTTCGGAGGACGTCGACAACAATCTCGCAAGCTGTTGTTACAAGGAGGCACCGTTCTCCCTAATCTAGCCTCAAAGCCAGATTTTAACCGATAGATTTACCTCTTAAATTTATAAATATCTTTAACGAAAGGGAGCTCTCAAGCGGTACCTCGTGATTGATGTAATCTTCTTGTAAAAAACTATAGCGAACAAATCAGGTTCCGTTCATAATATAAACATCAAGTTATATTTAGACCGTAAAAGATCCATCGACTTAAAGAATTCCAAACCACGTATAGCCAACAAAAGCTTTTGATGAGAGTTTTGTTGAATTTTATTCTATTCTACATGGTTTTGGTCTACCAAACATTGCACCCATCCCATCCCGCAACTCAGCCGCTTTTGTCGTTTTTCTGCAAATATTGGCGTATCTTCCTAAGAGCACTAGCTTGCGAGACAATAATATATACATCCAAATTCAACAAAATAATTAGGCCTCTACATGGGCCGAGCTGGGCCCGGATTGGAATTTGTGTTGCCGGTTATCTAGATCGATTTCAGTCCAAAATCTAGGTTTAATTCAAAAGTTTGGCTTATTTAGGGCTTAAATTCTGGGCTCGAAATGGGCTGGGCTTGAAATAAGCTTTTTGTTTTTTAAATATAAATTTTGCACTTAGCTTGGAACAAAATTGTTGTTTGTCAGTCTCAGAATCAAACTGTGAAATGTACGGAAGCGCTGTTTTGTGTTAGTACACAAATGTTCCAAGTTCGAATACAAAAAAGTATCTCAAAAAAAAAGTCTCTCTCAGACGGGGAATCGAACCCCGGTCGTCCGCGAGCAAATAGGTTTTTGTACCATAATACAAATATTGACAGGCGGAAATCTTGACCACTGGACCATCTGAGATGTGATTGGTTCAGTCCACTGAACCAGACAGCCGGTGCTATTCTTGGAGAAATTTCTCTCGATTAATTATTTATTAACCTCGAAATACTTTGGTCAAACATGGGAATGTTGAGACCGAAACTAGGAATTTTAGACAGACAAACACTTCTGATTTCTATGCTTCGAAGTCGTCCCAACTCCCATGGGCCCCGTACCACAACTATACTTTAAAACATGTTTATCTTATTTTATCTTGGGTTTAAATATGAGACCAATTGTTAGATCTTATAACATAGCTATTTTTCCAAGTATCGTCATTATATTATTGCGGTATTCCAGACCCGAATTTTTGCCTTTGGCATGTATACTAAGCATAATATACCCTAGGCCAAGTTGGGACAATCTCGGCACCAGCAGTTAGGAGCGTCCCCCAGACTAAGTAGTTAGAGTTGAAATAACTTCAACAGTAAAAATATTTTTCAAAAATGATTATAAACTTCATTAAACACAAACTTTATTTTATGATAAGTATAGTCGAATACATTATAAATTAAGGATGTATATATAGTTAGTGCATTGTACACACGACCATAAATCTATGTAGCCTTAGTACTCTTGTATATAATCAGGCCCTGAGATAAAAGGGAATGCGCGTAATAAGTTAATATTCAACTATCTATCATATCGATCTGAAGTTTTGGCATGTATAGAAGTGCTTTGCTAATTTTTAAGGAATTAAGCCTTCTGATTTTCTAGTGTGAGTATAAGAATAGTTCTGTGGGTGGAGGCTAATTATCTAAATATCTAGTATTGAGTGTTTAGGACTGAGACTGATTTCCGTTTTGGAGAGGTTTAGGAAACTCGAATTTTTGTAATTATCCTAGAATTAATTTTATGATTTGTCTGTTTTCTTCCTCTTTCCGGTATTATTCCCTCCTGAACCTCCTCCAGTACCCCCGCTACTCTTATGATTGTCTCGCCAGTTATTACTCGCATTGCCTTCACCATTCCCTTTATTCCCCTTCCCGGTATTGTTCCCTCCTGAACCTCCTCTAGAGCTTCCTCTAGAACCCCTACCATTGTTGTGACTGTCTCGCCAGCTATTAGCCCTACTGCCTTCACTATTCCCTTTATTCCCTCCGCTCGTGTAACCATTACCTCCATTCTTCTGGTAATCGTTCCCCTCGCCCCTCTGGCTATTCCCTGCACGGTTCCCTCTCCCCCCTCCATAGTTTCTAGTATGATTCTTGCTACAGTTTCTACTAGTGCTATTGCTTTTGTTTTGCTGAAGATTTTCCATTCTTTTTTTGCTACTCTCCCCACAAATTTCTTTGATAACGATGGAGGGAAATACGCCAGGATTAATTCGTATTTGATGTAACGTTTCTTCGATTATACTAATATCGTTCACTCCCAAAGATAACTTTAGGTGAATATTAATGTTTGTTATAGTGCTTTGAAAAGTTTGTTGGATTGTTTTTTGGGATGCTTCGATTTGCATATAAGAGTAGTGTTGTATTTGGGTATAGATATTTTGTAATTAAAGGTTATTATTATGGGAAGCGTTGATAATGGTTATATGGATATAAAAGATATTTGGTTTTTTTAAGCATGTTTGGATGTCTACGAAGATATTATTTTGTAAACAATTTTTCTAGTTGTCGGTAAAGATAATAATTTCGGGTTTGTAAGATTAAAATTTTTTATTTTACAGAGTTTGCTAAATGATTTGGATAATCGCATTTTATAATACGGTGTTGTCTCGCCTTTTGATATGATTGGTTACAAGGTTTTGTAGGTTATTTTGTAATTTAGTTCAGTCGACCTTTTTTCAGTTTATATAGGGAAAAAGAGTTTGTATGGATTCTGCAAAAGACTTATTAATCATAAGAGCAAACAGTTAGTTTTACATTGGTATAAATTTTTGGTTATAACAGAATCTATAGTTGTTTATCTAATTAAAACTAAATTTTTGTTGTTGAGTATTAAATTAATATTCTCGATACCACCAATAACAACATTGATAAAATAAATTATTGAGTTGCTTATGTTGACACCGAAAATAACGTGATAAGGGTATAAAAATGTTACTTTTTATTGTTATAATATTTTAATAATTAATTTTACTTGATTGATTTCTCCACAAATGTTGCGATAAACTTTGTTACAAACAAATTTAGGTATTTTGGATTTAAAATAATACGAAATTTCAAAAAATTTTAATCTAAAAGCTGGAAAATGAATAAAATATATTAATACTAACAAAAAATACTTTACTAAAAGTTAAAAAAAAATACTAAAAAAGATATTAATTATATGGAGTGAAAAAAATACCAAAAAGATATTAATTATACGTAATAAACAAAATAAAAATAGACAACAAAAATGCAATCAAATAATATAAGAAATATAATACTATTATAAAAGGCTTTAATCAGATAAACAATGAATATAGTTTTTTTATGTTGGTTTTTGCGATATAAAGGGATTGAGTGATAAATTTCGGGTTTTTGTCAACTCGCCAAAGCCTGGGGTATTTATGCATGCTCTCAACACCCGATCAATTCCAGGATCCATACTTAACACTGTAGCCTCGCCCTAAGGCGCCAAGTAGAGGCTGGAATCAGGTTATGCAATATCAATAAGTAATGGTAAATCCTTCACTCCTATCGTAGCGGCTAGAGTCATTGATTATTTTTAGTCTGGAAGGCCGGATGGGGAGTACACATGATATCTGCCTTTTCGCATTGAACAATCATGCACGGAAACAGTGGCTTGCCAAGTCGGTCTTGCTTTGTTAGTATATAGAACGCCTTTTGTACAGGGTCTCTACTGAAGGCTGGATGTTTTTATCACAAGTAACATGACTTCGAACATGCCTTGGCGAGTATTGCTGCAGATCCTATTCGAAACACCTAGAATTTTGCATTGAAAAAACCCAATGATCCTACACCGTTGAACAAAATGGGTTCTAGCAATGGCGTTAAACTGGCTTTGTAACCCCGGAAGTTCACCCTAAAGTCGTAGTTTGGGTTGCTAAATTTAAAATTTCGACTGAAGTTTCTGCAACTTACAGCCGTGAAATTTTGGCGCCGGGAACCAACTATACAACTATTCTTGAGTTAACATTACTCGTGACGCAGAGCACCGACGTCCAGCCAGGCGCCTAAGCTTAGGAAATGCCGGAATGGAGCCAAAGGCTGCCTGTACGTATTTTGAAACGGCTAATAGAGGTGGTTGGATGACCCCGCAGTTGATGCGCATCTGAGTCTTATATGCACATGCCATGCATATATATTTGCAGCCTTGCTGCATAATGAAGTCGCGGCGACTTTTATTCCATTACACATACATTAGTACATACTTAAGACTACTAAATGACGCTAGAAATATCTCCAAGATCAAGATAATATTATCCAAATATCAAAAAGTATATCTTATTGGTAAAGTATTCTGACCCATCTGCATGCCAAAAGGAATGCAAACATTACGTAACGTATATAACAAGTGCAAGGCTTGATCAATTGTACTGATTGATGGTTGACCCAGCCCTACAGCTGCAGCTCTACACCTCCGATTGGTCTATGGTGACACAAGGCTGATACAGATACCCCTTAGTAACATTATGTTGATTTCTTAAAAAGAACACATATGCAGTATCAGAAAGCTCCTAAAGCTGGAATAAACTATACATTTTAAGTCGATCATACAACTTTAGTTTCTTCTCCTCATAAAATGTATATTAAAATCCAATCCCGGTTTTAGTGTTTGGATGGCAGTGATTATACCATACAGGGTCTAAATTCGCAATCAAAGTTTGAAATCAGAGCTTGCTCACAGTCACCAGTCCTTGTGACGTCTAGGTACCAGACTACTGGCAGTAGGTTTCACAATAAGGGCCTCGCATTGGGGCCGCTCAATTAACCGACATCACCGTATAGCCAAATAGTTTTCGAGCTGCACAGAATTTACAATACTATTAGCTAACAATGTTAAATCCTTTTAATTCTATTTTCATATATTGGTCCTTCTTTTTGTTCACTAATTCTTTTATCAAAACAAATAAAAAAAATCGTGTTATCTTAATTCCATATAGTATTACAAAAAAAATAAAAATAGAGAACAATAACTACAATATCTTCATTTTACTTTTCTACCTTTTGAAAATCAATCAGTATGCTTGATTCTTTACTGTTTAAGAAGGTTACTGATTTGTTAAATATAGTTATAGAGAGCTTGTGTGGCTTAAATGCAGTATGTTATAGAAGTAGAATGTTCTCCCCTACAACTTGTATTACTGGCTCACGATAATTTGAGTTGTTTTGGGTTATATTGACCCAACATGCTAGCTTAAATCAAAAACTATGTTTAGCCCGACTTCTTAAGATTGTGTAACTTTATGGTCACAAAATATTGCTTTTCTTGATTACAGGATTACTTTTGCTATAGTGGCTCCGGCTTGTGAGATAATTGAGGGGGGGTTTTGAAGGTGTGAATGTATTCTTAAAAGTAAAGCTTATTAAGATTTTAGTATGAATAAATTTAAAGCTTAAAAGAAATTTTTTATTGTGTAGGATTGATAAAATCTTAAGTATAAAAAAATCTCATTTCTACCCCTTAATCTCAATATTTTTCGTTCACCATCTAGTAGATAAAAAAAAACAAGAACACTACTCTATAACTTTTTTATAACCTCAAAAATCACTTTAATTCTTGCAGAAATCATATTTTCTTCATTCAATATAATAAACATCGTATTCTCCGCCAACACAGTCAAGCTCCAATTGAACCAGGGCATTGAAAGCGCCACCTTCATTACAATTGGTACTGTTCTTGCCAACGGTACCAACCATACCAGCATCACGACCTTACCATTTGCATTCGTCGTCCTTACAGAGAATTCCGGAAGCCCGCCAAATACTTGATTTAATCCAACCTAATTAAATTTATTACCTCCAAAACTTACACTTTTATCAGTTTGTATAAAATTCCAAATTTTATAAAACTTCACCAACTTAAAAACTAACATAATAAAACAATAAATCCAAATGGTTCCAATATAGTTATATTCATCAGCCTTGATAACAAAACCGTTGCTACCTTCAAGCAGTAGGTAAAAATATTTGTGTTTTTCCCCTCTACTCAAAACTTTTTTAAATTACGCCCATAGTAATAATGATTATTTCGAAAATTAGACCCCCTTGTAAAAATTATCTAATTTATTATTCTTCCAATACGATAGCTAAGCAATAAAATTCAGAGAATAAAAAGAATTAAGTCCCATAATTTACCTATTTAATCTAATATTTAGACCAATTTTAATTTTTAAAGCCATCCATCAATAGTTGTTACGTAATAACCTGTCTCAACGGATTTTTGTTTGCTATGATATTTGCCATATACACCTTCTCAGCCTGTTAACATTAACAATTAAATTCAAATCCCAGATTAAATTAATAATATTCCTTGTACAACTGTAACTAAATATTATAAATAAGCTTGTTAGAATCAGAAATATTCTGCATATGAACTATAGCATCACTCCAAAAAAAGGTATATTTATGTATTCTCTTCAAATTTTAAATAATAAACAAAAATCAAAATTAACTAATACTATTTAATCATATTTTTAGGTATTTTACTAAAAAACTGGAAAAATTCTTATTCATATTGAGCTGATATATGAAAGCTTAGTAATATAGGGGTTATTGATTGGGTATTTACCTTTTTGGGATACCACAACTTGATATGGGCTAGCAAACCTAGCCAAACTATTAAATTGTGGTAAGCTAGAACGCTTTTAAGTAGATTTCAACTGGATATTAAGACATTATCAGCACATAGATAGGTATTTCGTATTTATCCGCTAGGGCTTTGAAAGTGTAGCTAATGTTTCTTAAGTTTCTTTGGTCCTTCTACAAACACGTCCCTTACCGCTAGACCCTGACCCCCGTTGTAATTTTGATTCCCTAGTTGGTGAAGGCGAGGATGCAACTGACCGGGGGGCTTGGTGGTACTTGGGGTTCCGGCCGTCGTAATGGTGGTTTCGAGACTCCTATATCCTCACCATCTGTATCACAATAACAGCAAATCCTATCCGCTCCAGTTTTAGGTTTCTCAGGTACTGTCGACATACATTCCGAGCAAACAGCCGCGGATAAAGCCTTCTAATAACTCATGACTATAGCCATCCAAAACTGTTCGTTGGCCTCGCTTGCTTCATCTTCCGGCTTTGACATCTCCGGTTGCTTCTGTGGTAGAAGGTGGGGGCGGCATACTACAGTATGGTTATTTATTTTG